ATCAGTAGTTTTTGTATTTTGTTTCTTATGTCATTTTGATCTCCACACTTTCAATTGACTCAATTTTTATTCTTAATTTCAAATTTTGCGTTAATTTGGTTCAATTGATAATATCATTAGTGTATTTTAAGAAAAATTATTATTAAATTAGTTGAGCTTAACTTACTGAGTTCAATAAGTTCATAATTTTGCCCTTAAAAATATGGCACAAAAAATGTAATGCCCCGAAAATTATAACATCATATAATTACATCAACCAACATTCATTATAAGAGAGGGTCTGATTCTTCAACCTTTACATCATTGATCACTAAAGTTTGTACAAAAATAGTTCCACATACGAATTATACATTCAATGGTATCAAATACATGAATATATAGCATGTAGAATATCAAATCCAAAAATAAATAAAATGCCCTCAAGGGCTTACACATTCTAAGGCTTAAGCTCAGTTACACAAAAATGGTCTCTCGGACCCAAACAGTTATAGCCCTTGGCTAACAAAATATACCAAAACAAAAATAAGAGCCCTATGCTCCCAACACATACGTCTACGTCCTAACTTGGCGGGATCACCACGTCATTTTCTGCACCAAAATCCCATAGGATGAGTATAAAGCCTAGTAGAAAATTCTTATCAAAGTATATACATTTTATACAAGTCTCAAGGAATGAAATGCATATGCCATGTTATGCTCCTTTAAAAAAAACTTCATATTTACTTATCTTTTGAAAACCATTATGCACAATGATATCATGATATCTTTAACAAATTCAAAGTTTATCAATTTAATTCAAGGGGCGGTAAATACGATTCGGGTAATCCCTAGGTTGGTGTCTGCAAATAGGCATAACTAGCACTACCAAAACCCCACATTACCGGTTGCTAATTGGAAAGGAATCCTCCACGTGTGTTTTCGGTCTTTCACCCCGGACACTCAGCCAACTTAATCAATTTCATCTACACCTCCTATCCAGACTTACAAACGTATTTATCCCAAAACATTTCAATAATTCTCGTTTCACAATGTTTCTTTCTCAATGCAAAATTTCAAATCCCAATTTAACATTTATAACAAGCAAATAATTGGAATGCCAATGCAACAACTATCCATGCAATGCAATAGTTATACATGCGGTGCAACATCTTTCCTTTTACAAAACTTTCACACAAATACTCCATTTATAATCATAATTTCCATTTTTCTTTCCAACGCATTTCATAAGGTTACCATATATCTATAAAGATTCATCATTAGTAACAACATCACCACACTTCATGAATTCTCAACAATTTAGTCATTTCATGACTATATCTACAACTTCAACAATAAATCCCAAAATTTATCATTTCTCATATTCAACAAAGTTTACCATTTTATATAAAATCAAGTAAGAAATTTCTCAATCATTCATTCATTATGGCATACTAATAAGTAAATAAAAATTTACTAGATTCTCAAGCCTTTTTAAAACCTCAAATTTCTAGGTTTTTGACAAAAAGAGGCATCTCTTCATCTTTTTGAAAAACAACTGATCCAAAGCATCTTTACCCACACATTGTAGTTGAGGGAAATGTAGAGAGAAGGGAGAGAAAAGAGTTTTCAGAGAGAGAGAGAGAGAGAGAGATATCAAAAGTGAGATACGCTTAGCCCAAAGAGGAGAAAAAGAGAAATTTTTGAACTCCACCAACCATCGCACGTGTGGCACCCATGCCTGCACGTGCGGCCTTCATCTTCGCACGTGCGGCCCTTTCCCCCTCACTTCCACTCCCGCACCTGCATATATTGCAGTGTGTTCTTCAACCCTTCCCTATTTTTTGTACGTGCGGCCTCACCTCCCGTATGTGCGGCCCTGGTCCTCTAACCCAGAAATTTCTCCGCTCAACTCTAGACACTCCAGACTCGACCTTGCACCCTCCGAAACAAGTAAAACTCAACACCGGAATAAACAAGAACAAGAATTTTGAGAAAAACTTCCGAACACAACAAACCCAAATGGTTAACAAGGTTCCAAGTTAAACCTGTCACTCTAACAAGGGCAAACCCAACGCAAACAATGAGGGAAGAGGCGCACAACGTAACCGGTCATCACAAAAAAATTACTAAGAGTTGTAACTAATTGGACCAAATTAAAACAAAATTACAAATTCAAGCTTAAAATCAAGTCAATTGAAATCACAGAGACTGAAATGACACAAGAACCAAAATACAGGGACTATCATCGTAATTTTCCCTTGAAATAAAGAAAAGAGAAGCTTCTCTTCAGTCCTCATTTGGACTAAAGATGCATTGTTCGGGCGCGTAGGGCCCACCATAGGCCACGTTTTAATGATCTGAATCATCTATATTTTAGGATTCTTCATGTATATCATTCTCACAAAAAATTGGGCCGATCTGATAATTATAATATCCTCATTTTATCACATTTGTCTTCAACAAAATAAATTGTCTATTTTCCAAAGCACATTTGCCGTTCATTTTTTTTTTGTGACAAATATAATAAAATGAAGATGTTCTTATTATCGGATCAAATTAATTCTTTGTGTAAATAATATACATGAAGAGTCCTAAAAAGTGAACAATTTAAATTATTAAGATAAGATCTATGGATAGTGCCTCTCCCATCTAGATGAGGATCGAAGAGAAGCTTTTTTTTTTCCACAAAAACCACTAGTAAAATTTGCCCTAATAATAAATAAAAAGGTTAATTATCTAAAAATTCTATTGATAAGTTTGTTATTCTATTAGGTCCTCCTTCCTTTTTTTTAACCCACAAAGTCATATTTTCAAAATATTTATGTATATGTGACTGTTTTACTCTTATTAAAAGGCAAAAGGAACTGAAAAGTAATTCATTAAATGCTAATAAAAAATTATTAGGTGTTATAAGTGTAACGTCTGACAATGTTATCTAACAATCACCTAGCATTATATGCCTCATGCCTCATGCACCAAAACAAAATTGTGTGCCCCATCCTATCTATCAATCACAAATCTTTTGATAATCACCTAACTACACCTCAAAAGCATTAAATATTTTCTCTTATTCAAATAGTATTGCTGATGTGACATTTTACTTTAAAACTTCGTAACCTTTATTATACACATTTATTTTAATAAAATTTATATATTTGGATCCAACACAGGGGCATCTATCAAGGAAAACCAATATTGAATATAAAATTTATAAAAATAAAATATTATTTTTTTAGTTATACGAAACTAATAATTTCTTAATTTGTGAAACTATCCAATAAAGTTGTGAAATTTCTCAATTTTTTTTTTCAATATTAACCGAGAATATTCTTTGTTTTTTAAAAATTTCTCAATTTTTTTTAGTTTTAAAACTGAGTCAGTTTTTTTAGTTTTAAATTGAGAAATTTCTTAGTTTTAAACTTGGAAAAAACTGAAAAAATTACGCAACAAAAAAATATTATCAGTTAAGTAACTTAAGAAATTTACTATTAAAAATAGTTTAAATTGTAAATTTATAATAAAAAAACATATTTTTATTCTTATATAATTTTGTATTTAATGTTAATCTTGTTTGATAAATTTCGTTATGTTGATTCTAGAAACATAAATTTTATCGAAAATAAATATATATTGTAAAAATTATGATGATTTTAAATTTTAAAAATTCAAAATAAATGCTAAATCATCATATTTTTTTTTATAAACAATTATAAATGATGAACAACCATAGTTTAAAAAATAATTTCGTTTATTAAAAATTTTTGCTTGGTCCCATTTTTCTAAAAATACTTTTCAGAAAATTTTACTTTCTTATTTTTTGTGTTTTTTTTGTTTTTACTGAATTTTTTAAATATTTTAAGAAATTTTTTTACTTTTTAGACATACCTAGCATAAATATACCTAAAAAATAAAAAATTTGTGAAAAAAACCTTTTAAAAATTCACTAAATACCAAAAATATAAAAAAATACGAGAATTCAGTATATTTTTTGTATTTTTATGTATTTATTAATTTTTTAAAATATTTTTTTATAAATTTTTTAATTTTTAGATAAAATAAGTAAGGTGCATCTAAAAAAGTAAAAAAAAAATGTTTAAAATTTTAAAAATATTCACTAAAAACCAAAAAAAACATGAAAATAAAAAAACTCAATTTTTAAAAAACTTAATCTAAAAAAATCAAACCAAACACACTAAAGGAATAAGTTTTTTATTTTTTATTTTTTATCTACAACTAAATAGAGTATAAATTTACAAAATAAAACTTGTGTGTAAATACTTTAAATAAAATCATATGCCACGTTTTTGTTAGTTGGGAGGAACATTCACCTACCTACCGCTGGCTGACTTTAATTAGTCTTTTTTTTATGTGTTTGCGTGTATCTACGCACAATACCAGCAAGAAAATGTTTGCTTTCACACGTTTCTCCTGTAATTACAAAACTAACCCTAACAACGATTAAACCTACTCACCCACCATCTATATATCCTCCTCTCTCTCCATATAAAACAGTCTGCCTGTCTCCTTCTCTCTCTACTTCGTTCTCTTTCTCTCTCCTCTCTCCTTACAACCAGTCTTCGTCTTTCTCTTTGTCTCTCTACTTCATTCTCTTCTTTTCTCCTCTATTCAATAATTAAATTGTGTTCGAATTTATGATTTGAGTAAAAATTTGTGGAGAGGAAAAAAAATATAAGAAAAATATTGAAATTTTTTAATTTACATAAATATATATTTTGTAATTGGATATCCGGGTCAATTAACTTATATATTTGTTTCACGTTTATTTCATATTTTGTGTTCTCTTTTGATACCTTACTCAAATCCAATCAATTTTAAATAAAAAAAATATGTTTATATCTTTATAGTTCAAATCAAACACAAGTAAAAAATCACAACACTATGTCCAATTCCTACTCTTAACAATGTTTTTGTAATATATTAATATCCTCTCATCTCCTTGAGTGCAACAACCCAGACTATAATTTTGGAAAAATTAAGTGCACTCTCTTTGCCAAAATGCATTTTTCTCTAAAGTTTTTTTTTTTTTTGTGGCAAACATCTCTCTCTCTCTAAAGTAAACATAGCAAAAAAAGCAAGAAATTAGAGGTGGCTATGAGGCACATTTGTTTACCTAAGTGGGTTCTACTTTCCCGCCTGAATGTTATGTTTACATTATGATTTTTTTTTAATTTTTATTTAAATTCATAATCTAAATACAATTTAAATGATTTTACGGTGGTGCTTGGTAAGTGGTTTTGGCGCTAAAATAGTCATAAAAAATAAAATAGATTATTTTAGCCATAACAAACAAAACATCACATCTAACCTATAATCATTACACTATTTTCTCACAAAAAAAGTCAAAAAAGCCAAAATGCCCTTCCCGAACTAAACTTTTTAGCCCAAGCTAAAATAGTCAAAAAAAAGTCAAAAAGTCAAAAAGCCAATCCACTACCCAAACGGAGGCGACAGATTGCAAAAGGATGGGAGGAAACAGCCGGAGAAAGTGTCAAATGGAAAAGAAACATAAAGAGTGTGAAGAGGGAGACCGAAGAAGAAGAGGAATGAAGATTGATTCAAGAAACTAGAAAGAGAAAATGAAGCTGTAAGAAGGTTTGACTAATTTTTAAGGCTAATTTCTGGCCTTAGCGCCCACCCACTTTTTATTTATTTATATAAGAATAGAATATAGATTTACTTTAAGAATAATATTATCGTGTCATTCTTATAATACTACATAGATTTTCTCGAAGAATAGAGTTTTCTATAAAAATAATTAGGGTAAATTACAAATGCATCTTCTGAGATTTACTTAAATACGGATTATTTTTTGTGGTTTAAAAAATTATAAATACCCCATTGTCAAAAAAATTTATTTATCAAAATTAACTAAAAAATAAAATTCTTAACCGCTGTCCTATATAATAATAAAATTACATAAATTATTAGTTGAAATAAAATTTTAACAACATTAAAAACTATTAATTAATTTGATGTTTTATTAATAAAAGGAGTTATTTGTTATAAAAATTAAAATCTCAAGGGGCGGGATATAATTTTTAGAATTATAAGAAATAATTTATATTTTAACAAATTTCAAAGAGTGTGTTTGTAATTTATCCAAATAATTACTAGCAAAAGCCCCCTGCTATGCATAGACAAAATTATATAGCTACAATAAATTTATAAGTATATAAATGCTTATCAATTAGAAGTAGGGTAGATTACACGTTGTCCCTTTTATGTTCAATCACTTTTTCATTTTGGCTCTTACAGTGTATTTTTTTTTATTTTTGGATCTTTCATGTTTTAAATTTTTTTCACTTTACTCCTAAAACTAATTTTTATTTAAAATTAGACAAAAAAATGTCACAATAACTGTCACATAACATAAAAAATATTATCATATTAGAGTTTAAATTTATGTCAGAGGTATGAGTTATATAATAAAATATTTTTATACCACATGACTGTCAATGTGTTATTTTTTGTTCAATTCTAAATAGAAATTAACTTTAGGAATAAAGCGGAAAAAACTTGAAACATGAAGACTAAAGTGAGAAAAAATAAATTTTAAAAACCAAAGTGAGAAAATATCCAAACATAAAGGCGACAAGTGTCATTTACCCTTGGAAGTATTATAGTTTAGGGAGCAGTTATCTTCAGTCCATTGTTTGGACTAGAGGGTCCAATTAGGCCCATTAGGAGCCCATCCAATTCATTCGTTTGAATTGTTCAATTTTTAATATATTTTGAGTAGATTATACATACAAAAATTAGGTCGATCAAATATTGATATCCACAAATTTGGATCACAGTTATTTTTTAAAAAATAAATGATAAATATAATTTGAAAAATAGTCACATTTTTTTTTAATAAGACAAATGTTATATAAAAATGTAATTACCGATGTCCATTTTAATCTAATTTTTCACATACATGATCTACTCAAAATATATTAAAACTTGAATAGTTCGGATCAATAAAATGGGCCCACAATCAACCCCTTTTTGGCACCCCATTGTTTAGTGTTATTGATCTAGCACAAGACAAATTTAAAACTAATCATATCTGTTGAATTATAGTGATGTTTCATTCTGATTATTGTTGCCACAAAGTCTTTTGTTACTATGAATCTTAGCCTAGTAGGATTGGATATAGTGGCTGGGTTAAAAATTTATCTGCCCTTTATTCTATATGGATAGTTGAATCATAAATTTTTAATATTCATCTATATGGTGTTTCATCTATTTTAAGGTGTATCAATTTTATAACAACTATTTCTAACATTCGTAAACCAAGAGACTATGCATAGATAAGGCTGACACTTCTTTCCAAAATTGAATCTCTAAGACCTCCTTCAAACTTTCTAGCTTTTTTTGTAGTCTGTATCAACCATGTGTGGCGCAAAACATGCTAGTTCAGTGAATTGGGCTTCATACTCTGCCACTGTCTTATTTCCCTATTTTATTTGCTCAAACTCAGATATCTTTCTATCCTAGAAAATTTCTAAAAATCGAACCCAATAAATTCCCTTATTATCATCACGGATTAACATTCACCATCTCCTTGCTCCATCTTCTAGAGTGAATGTAGCCAATTGAACTTTTTGTGCCTTTGTGCATAAAAACACCTCAAACAGCTTTTCGATTCCTAATACCCAGGCCTCAACCTTTAGTGGATCAACCCAGGCCCAGGAAATATTCGGGACTTAGACGGGCCAGGCCGATGGGCCTAGGCCTGAGCTCGGACTTGGGTAGGACTTGAACATTTTCTTCTTTTTTTTTTTTTTTTTTTTTTCATCAAAATTTTATTTTTTTCCACCAAAAATTATACTGGGCCTCGGGCAGACCGGACCTTAGCCAGGGTTTTAAGTAGGCCTTGAGTGGGCTGATGGGTCAGGCCATGAGTCGGGCTGAGCTTTAAAATGATGGCCCAGGCCCAGAGTCCCAAGTTAGGCTCAGATCCGGAGGGGGCCACCCCAAGCCACGAGTAGACTTTAGACCGCTTACGAGTCACGGGTCATTTTTACACTCTTGTATATATAGAACACACTTCGATTGAGGTATGCATAAGTGAATTTTAGTATTTTAATTGTTATTTGTTCTAGAAGTTCTTGGCATATTTTAACATCAAGCTATCCTCTCCGTTGACCATCAACCGGAACAAGTATTAACTTGAATATTAACTTCAATCTTATAAATGTAGATCTCGATGAATTCATCATGACTTACCAATTTCTCATTTCCAAATATTTTGGAAAAATTAATCTTTTTAGATCTTATTGATTGTATGAAAATTTATTTTTGTTTTTCGGTGTTTGGTTTACACTTGAACAAAAATATTTTATTACTTAAAAGAGAAATTTTAATTCAATAAAAGTGTCACTTATAACTTTTTATTAAGTTAAGATACTTATTTGAAAACACTAAATGTAATTAACTAAGGCTTTGTTTGTTTCCAAATAAAATATTGGATTAATTACTTACAAGTCCTAATGATAGTAGGTGTGGTAGCTCAAGGCCCATGCAATAGTTTTTGGACACACAAGTCCCATTTTGGAATGCAATTGATGTTCATGCCCTTTTGAATCTAACGGATTACAGATGCAACTTTAGAGAAAGAAGAGGACTTGGAATGTCCCTAAGAAATTTTACGAGTAGGAGGAGGAGCAGAATCTGCATCTTCATGGATCTTTTCAAACACTTGATGATGCTGATCGTTTGGATTATCCAAAGATTTTTAAGTTGGAGGTTTGCGATGCCTCAACCTTTTACACTTTCATTTCGATCTATTCTCTTCCTTGATCACTTCAATTTGCAACACTTTGTGTGTGTGTGTGTGTGTGTAACTCCAGCCCTTAAAATGTTTGATTGCTCAATTTTGGGGTTCAGAATAGAGCTTATTAAATCGACTAAAGAGATAGGCCAGGAGATCTGATTTGTAGGTAAGAACTGAGATATTCTCAGTTCCAAAACTGAGAATGTTCTCAATTTAAAATTGAGAATGATTTCAGATTGCAAAAATATCCAGTAAAATTGAGAAAATTTTCAATTTTTTTTAGTGTTAAAACTGAGAATATTATCATTTTCCAGTTTTAGACTGATAATATTCTCAATTTTAAAACTAGAAAAAATTGAGAAATTTCTCAGTTTTACACAACTATTTTTTATGAAAATTTCTTAGTTTTTGCACACCCATTGAAAATCGCACGGTGAGAATGAACTACCTCTTTCGGGGAAGAAGCAATCTTGGAGGTGTAGTTTAATGTGATCGAGTCCCACTCATTTAAAGGACAAACCCAGTTGAAGCTAGAATCATCATTTTTCACCAAGCTCTCGCAGTCACCAATGGCGGATGATGAGGGATTGGGTCTGAAACCACATCATCCATGATGAGGATGAACTTAGGATGTTGTATATTTGGTGAGTACAAAGAGAGAGCTTCGAGGACTAGTGAGCGAATATGGAAATCGAGAAGATGAGCTTTGATTTGGCATGGTAGAGGAGAACGAAGATGGTATGGGAGTCGAGGCATATGTTGACGGTGTGATAGATAAGGAGAGAACCAAAGTCAAAAAGCTTGGGCTCCATTTTTTATATGTGAGAGAGAGAGAGTCTGAAACTAAAAAAAGAGAGAGAAAACAAATGAGAGAGAAGGGGATGTTTGAGAGAGAAGGGGATGTTTGGTTGTTATTATTGGGGGGTGGCTGTAAAAGTAATAGAGAGAGAATAAACACAACAACTTACTTTCACACCAAGCATGCAATAAGACATTTGGCAGTGATGGAGTATGCGGGTAAATTGGTCTATTAAAAATTAATGGGACTTGAAGGAGCAAATAATCTTATTTAGGACTTAATGGATTATAAGTTCACAATATGGAACTTGTATGTAAATGCCCCTAAACTTTTTAGTTGATAAACTAATCTATAAGTCACAACCAAACAAAATCTGTACAAATCAAATTGATACAAGGTAAATTATATCAGTAGTTTTTGTATTTTGTTTCTTATGTCATTTTGATCTCCACACTTTCAATTGACTCAATTTTTATTCTTAATTTCAAATTTTGCGTTAATTTGGTTCAATTGATAATATCATTAGTGTATTTTAAGAAAAATTATTATTAAATTAGTTGAGCTTAACTTATTGAGTTCGGTAAGTTCATAATTTTGCCCTTAAAAATATGGCACAAAAAATGTAATGCCCCGAAAATTATAACATCATATAATTACATCAACCAACATTCATTATAAGAGAGGGTCTGATTCTTCAACCTTTACATCATTGATCACTAAAGTTTGTACAAAAATAGTTCCACATACGAATTATACATTCAATGGTATCAAATACATGAATATATAGCATGTAGAATATCAAATCCAAAAATAAATAAAATGCCCTCAAGGGCTTACACATTCTAAGGCTTAAGCTCAGTTACACAAAAATGGTCTCTCGGACCCAAACAGTTATAGCCCTTGGCTAACAAAATATACCAAAACAAAAATAAGAGCCCTATGCTCCCAACACATACGTCTACGTCCTAACTTGGCGGGATCACCACGTCATTTTCTGCACCAAAATCCCATAGGATGAGTATAA